ATGTTAACGTTACGTCTGTCACTGAGTTTAGGGACCGCCTCTAATGTTACATATGACGTTGGTACACACTTTCTGACTTAAGGGCCTTATAGGCAAGTAATATTATTTTGTAACTGATATGGAACTTAATAGGTAGCCAGTACAGAGACTGTAAAATTGGGGTAATATTATAATATTTTCTTGACCTGGTAAGGACTCTAGCCGCTGCATTTTGGACTACCTGTAGCTTGTTTATTGAAGATGCAGGACAACCACCTAGCAGTGCATTACAATAGTCCAGTCTAGAGGTCATGAATGCATGAACTAGCTTTTCTGGTTCAGAAACAGGTAACATGTTTCGTAACTCTGCAATGTTTCTAAGATGGAAGAATGCTGTTTTTGTAACATGGATTTTCAAAAGACAAGTTACTATCTAATATAACACCCAGATTTTTGACTGCAGAGGAAGTAACAGTACATCCGTCTAGTTGCAAATTGTAATCCAAGAGATTCTGTGTACTGTCTTTTGGTCCAATAAGTAATATCTCTGTCTTACCCTAATTGAATAGGAGAAAATGATTGGTCATCCATTCTTTTACATTTTTAACACACCCCGTTAGCTTAGATAATTTAGAAGTTTCATCTGGTCTTGAGTTGAGTATAGTTGAGTATCATCAGCATAACAGTGGAAACTAAGGCAAGAAGCAAGTCATTTGTAATTTGAACAAGTGCAGTTTCTGTGCCATGGTGGAGCCTGAAACCTGACTGAAATTATTCATAGAGATCATTTTTTAGCAGGAAGGAGCACACTTGAGCAGACAACTTTTTCTAAAATTTTAGGCATAAAAGGGAGATTTGAAACGGGTCTGTAATTTGCCAGTTCACTAGGATCTAGTTGTGGTTTCTTATAGTTCTGCCCGGACGATAACGCGGAGCCATATAGTTAATATCAGTAATACGCAGCATGCATGATACAAGGGAATGGTTAGTAACGTCATCGCTTTGAGGTACGATATCTATATCAGTAAGATCAATTCCATGCGATATAATTAAATCTAGCGTATGATTAAAACGATGAGTGGGCCCGGTGACGTTTTGCTTGACTCCAAAAGAGTTTATTAGGTCAGTAAACGCAAGTCCTAGTGCATCATTTGTATTTTCAACGTGGATGTTAAAATCTCCGACAATTAGCCTAAACTAAAAGTTAAACCTGTATCCTGTCTTCTGAGTAACATTGAGTATATCACTATATATTGTTGCAACACCGCCACCACGACCAGTCTGACGGGGCTCATGCTTATAACAGTAGCTTGGTGGAGTAGACTCATTTAGACCAATATAATCAAATCTGATGAATGCAACTATACAGCATAAAGATATTAAGATATTGTGATATTTACATGCATTCCTACATAACAGTAACATCATTATTTTCTGTAAAGCTTCTCTGAAACAATGTGTATTGTGAAAAGCACTATATAAATCTGACTTAACATGCAAAACAGTTTTCAAGGAGAAAACTCGGGTTAAATTACCTTCCCCAATAAAATCCTAAAAGTCATTTTCTTTCAGGTTAATGCCTCTTCTTGTAAATTAAATCACAGAGAGCCCTTGTGGATGGTGAGATTTCCAATTTCCATGAGCACCGCAGGACCCTCAACATCCACCTCAGGAATTCAGATGGCATAGCAATTTCACCCTCCTGCATCACACACCACACACAGAGACACTCATTATGAGTCTGATGCACATGCAGACACTGCTAAAAAAAAACACATCATGTTCACTTAATTGTTGAAAGATTTTGTTATTATTTAAAAATTGCAATTAGACAACATGATGCATTTATAAGATTAATGCATTTCACATTTGATCTTTCTTATCTCTCTCTCAGATTATTAATTTATTAGTATTGTTTGTTAAGTCAGTCAAAACTAGTACTAGCTTATGCATTGAAACATCTAGCACTAATTGTAAATGCCTGTTCACACAAAAAAACAATAACTAGAATGATAGCAATAATTAAAGCTGCAAGCAGCGTTGAAAGGGCCCTCTCACCCGGAGCCACCTCCACCCGGTGGCCTTAGGAAAACAACGAACAATGGGCAATATGCATTTAAAGTGGTAAATATATAATATGTCAAAAGTAATTTATGTTCCAAACTTCCTGCTGCCAGCTGGTGGCACTGTGATTATAACTGAATATTGACTTCAGGCCAGGACTCTTATTAAACGTGAAGTTTGGTGCAGATTGGAAATTGCATGTTTTAGTTAAACATGACATTTCCTGTTTGGGGCAAATCGGACATTGTATGGCTGAGTTACAACAACTTACTATCCCATGGCAAAGCATCAAACTTTTCCAGGCCACCACGGACACACCCCTTCAATGAACACTCAAGATCTTAACAATTTAACATTGCCAAGGCCTTTAGATTAGACTGATCAAATATAATGTTGATGTCATTAAATCTCTAGGAGGAGCTTGTTATAGTGTAAAACATGTCACTTCCTGTTGCCAGCAGGTGGCACTATGGCTATAACTGAATATGAGCATGGGCATGTGATTATGACAGGACTCTTTTCAAACATGTGAGGTTTGGGGCAGATCAGACATTGTATGCCTGAGTTATAACAACTTCCTGTTTCATGGTGAAACATCGAAATTTGTCAGGCTGCCATGGACAAGCCTTTCAATGAAAAGTCAAGATCTTTGCAATTTAACATAAAAAAGGGCTTTAGATTACACTGACCAAATTTGGTGTTAATCTGATCAAATATCTTGGAGGCGTTCGTTAAAATACAATGTCTGAAATTGGCTAAAACGACATAAAATTCGCCGAAAAAAATTCTAAATAACTGACTTCCTGTTGGGTTTTGGATTTTAATCCAAGATACTTTGTTGTAGGTATTTGTGCGTTACAAGTGTCTACTGAATTTCATACATGTACATGAAACATAGTTTAAGGGGCACTTCATTGAAAGTGTATAGGTGGCACTTTTGAGCCATTTTGCCACACCCACTTCTGAAACCTATATCAGATGTAAATGTTTGCCACTTCTGGCATGTGTGCAAAGTTTCACAAGTTTTCGAGCATGTTTATGCCCCCAAAAAATGCGATTCATTTTGGAGAAGAAGAAACCACCATCGGTGCTCGGGCCAAATAATAATAATAATAATAATAAACAGAGTAATTCCAAGACTGCTGTTATACACTAAAACAAAATAAATAATACAATTTTCATTACCTAACAGGAATGTTTGAAAAAAAGTTATTTGAACATATTTTGCTTGTTGGGCAATCTTAATTCAGTGTGTTGATTGACATGCATCTGCCAAATGTGCAAGATATGTGATATTAATAATGCATAAAATTGTAATATAAATGTTTTTTTAGTTAAATAACTGACTTCCTGTTGGGTTTTGGATTTTAATCCAAGATACTTTGTTGTAGGTATTTGTGCGTTACAAGTGTCTACTGAATTTCATACATGTACATGAAACATAGTTTAAGGGGCACTTCATTGAAAGTGTATAGGTGGCACTTTTGAGCCATTTTGCCACACCCACTTCTGAAACCTATATCAGATGTAAATGTTTGCCACTTCTGGCATGTGTGCAAAGTTTCACAAGTTTTCGAGCATGTTTATGCCCCCAAAAAATGCGATTCATTTTGGAGAAGAAGAAACCACCATCGGTGCTCGGGCCAAATAATAATAATAATAATAATAATAATAAACAGAGTAATTCCAAGACTGCTGTTATACACTAAAACAAAATAAATAATAAAATTTTCATTACCTAACAGGAATGTTTGAAAAAAAGTTATTTGAACATATTTTGCTTGTTGGGCAATCTTAATTCAGTGTGTTGATTGACATGCATCTGCCAAATGTGCAAGATATGTGATATTAATAATGCATAAAATTGTAATATAAATGTTTTTTTAGTTTTTTTTTATCAGTTACATTGACAGAAGCTGCATATCATTAATTCGTAATATAACCTATAAAACTTATAACACCTACAATGCTAATATTTCTGTCTCTTCATGTCCACAATGTGTATTTGACTCTTATTAAAAACTGCAGAGACAGACAGCCAGACCAGGAGTAAGTGTGTGTGTGTGTGTGTGTGTGTGTGTGTGTGTGCGCAGTGTTTTATTGTTGTGTTTCTTGAGCTGGTGAGCACAGCGTCTCGTTTCAAAGATAACACCAAAACACAATTATCCCTGGCGACACATGAGACGTCTTTCCTGGTGCTCGATTACCACCTTCTGACAGGTAACCATGAGGGAGCTATTCATAGTTTTCAGTCACGTGACTGGCTCAAAGACCTGGCAGGCAAAACATCCATAGAACTGCAGCACAAGCCTGTCAATCTGTTTCCAATCCACAAATATATAGATAATCTATCAAAAAGATAAAACAAAGATATGTAATCAAAATGCAAGTTTTTACAATTTTGTTATTTTTAATTTTTTTTGCATTTGCAATATACAAAACACCCACAGCAATATTTCAATTAAAAACAGCGTGACATTCTAAAATGTTTAATGTGAAACACTTAAAGTGCCTTTAAAACAGTGATATTAAAAGGACACATTCAGTACACACATTTTTTTAAGGATGCATACTTCATACAGGCAAGCAGATGAGCTCGGATTATGAACGCAATACGCTAAATGGTTAACTGTTTACTTTATAGCGGTTTGCTTTGGGAAAAAATTAAAGTGAAACTTTGCGCATTGCATTTATATTCTGGGTTCATCTGCTTGCCTGTATGCATCGTCAATAGGGTGTATACAGAATTTGGCCTTTACATATTTCTGTCTTTCAACATTACTACTTAATGCAAACCTCATAAAAATAACTGGTGGTCAGTGGAGGAAAGCCTTGTTTTGCCCTCCATGTGGGCGTTCCTGTAAGGGTGTGACGTCACGTGAAAACTATGAATTGTACAATGTTGTGTTTACTTTGGCCCAAATGCACCTCACACAAGAACACATGAAGTTTGAGTTTGAGATGAACCTGTTGAGCAAGCACTTTTATTCAACATTGTTCTGCAGCCTTGCAAACGGGACCAAGTTTATTGCCATTGTTTTCGTCACGTCAGCTGTTTATTCAGCCATGTTAACCGAGCCACATCTCTGATGACTTACACAAATAGATGATGACTTTAACAAACATAATACTACTTTATTTATTATGTTAAGAAAATGTTACCATAAAACCAGGGACGCGGGAACATGTTTTCGGTTGGGGGTGCTGTGTGTGTCCGTGTTGGGGGGTTTGGGGGGGCTGGTTCACTTACGTCGGTGCTCGTGCTGGGGCTGGTGTTGTTTGGATGCGATTTTGGAAAGTTTTTGCTGGGATGGGCATTTAAAAAAATCTGAAATTCGCTTTTGCGCCATTATCTCCTTGTATTAAAGTTAATCGTGTTCGCATTCTGTACAGTTCATGTCAGATACCATGCGCTAGCGTCACGTGTTCATGAGGATTAGGCTAATCATCCCATATAGAAAACATCACAAGTAAACTTAATCATGTTTATAAAGATAAACATGGGTTTATTATGGCCCACTTACAATTTACATTTCAGAGATCATTACAAATAAATTATTAAATGCTAAAACTGAATAAATTTAAATGAACAAACTTGGCGTTGCATTTGCAACCATGTGAAAACAGGGGGTGCTGCAACCCCCTCAGCACCCCTACTTCCCGCGTCCCTGCATAAAACAATGTCACACAAGCAATTTTATGTTTCAGCAAAAGGAGAGACTTTTCCCCTTCTCTTCCCCAAACTGCACGTTGACAGCATACTGTAACTGTACGTCCTGCTGTGCACTTCCCTTGTTTCAGATGTGTGTTTATAATGACAGAGACATGCTCTACCCATAACCATAATTATACACACATTCACACATATGTGCATTTTGGAAGTTGAGAGAAGTGATGTGGTAGGCCATATAATCATATCCGCTTCAAGCATTGATCACTATCTTTAAGGCCGATTTCCTGCATGTGTGTGTGCGTGTTGGTCATGTTCATACATGCGGTGATGAGTGTGTGTTTATACTGGACACGTCTTTTCTAATTCCAGCTCATGATAGATGCTTAGTGTGTATGAACAGTGATTATGTGTTATACAGATGCATTTCTGAAGACTGCTTCTAGGTTTTCCTCTGCTGTCGGTTTACTCTCATAATTACAAAATAAAAAAATAAATGTTATTTTGTTATGTATTGCAATATGCATAAAGAAAATTAAGCCTATTTTTGAAACCATTTTGAAATTATTTTCATGAAAATGAAGCACATTTTCCTTCCAAATACTGATTATTGTCCAGATTTTTTCTATTTTCTTTTTTAATTTTATTTATTTATTTGAGATTCTCAATTCTGCGTTACAGTAATATAAGGATTATTAAGGATAAGGATTTTTTTTGCTGAATATAAGGATTTGTACATTTTAATCAAGTCTATATTTAAATTATTGTGCCTTTAAGCACATTTCCCCCAAATTGTCACTAAATGTTTGAAATTCCAAATGTTCTCATAAATGATTCTTATTTGATTTTCATTGATATTATGCAATTATTTTAAATGATTTTTTAAATTAATTTTATTTATATATTTATACCTTAAATATTAACTCCTTATTTTCCTGTTACAGTAATGAAACATTATATTTATTCATTCATTCATTCATTCATTCATTCTTTCATGTATTTATGCAGTAATTAATTTTGTTTGTGAATTTATACATTAATTGACCTCTGTGCAATTAATGCATTAATTTACTTGTTTGTGCATTCATTTATGTATGCATTTATGCAATTGGTCATCTATGCATTTATTGTATTTAATTTCTTTATTTTATTGAATTACATTAATGAGGGGGATGTACTTTTTATCCTTATAACAATTCACATTTTTGTATTGTATTTTGTATTTAATATTATTATTTAAATTATTTATTTATTATTCTGGATCTGTTTATTTATGGAGTCCATTCACCTCTTCATCATTTATCAATCTCCTATTCAGTTAGCATGTCTGTTCAGCTGTGTTGTTGCTGTGTTTGGGAAGATGTTCTGCCAGATGTACAGTATGTTCCTGTTGTCGTTGAGCTTGAGTGCTCCAGCTGTGTTATCTCTTCACAAAAATAATCTGGAATGATTGGGCGCGGGGAGGGATCAGAGGAACTTCTCCAGCAGCTGTAATTTCCCCTTTTTCTCCTGCAATCCGACTCCTCTAAGCTGGTATTAAAACATTGGAAGGGGTGCCAGACCCCCGCTTGATGTCAAAAGGGTTTTCCCTAGAGGCTGATGGGACTTTACTCTACGTCAGTGGTGGGCTTGAACACAAGATCCCATCTCTGCGTTAACTGCATTTGACCGTGTGGTTTATTACGGTAATCCTGCACTTGGTGAGTCGATATGTTGCATATGCCAGTGTGTGACCCTGTCTGCTCACAGGCCCCATAATGACTCCAATCAGTCTCTAGAGTCTCTGTGTCCTCTTATTTCTGCGGTGTAAACAGGGAATGCTGTTCATAACTTTAAAGACAAACATTTTAGAGGTTCTGGAAAACAGATAGACAATTGAATGTAAGGTTTTTTGAAGTGAACAGAATTGCTTCAGATCAAAAATGACAATGCAGACCTTCTAGATCAGTTGTTTTCAGTTGGTGGGTTGGTAACTAATTGGAAATAAATAAATTAAAACTGAACAAAAAAAAAAGAAGTTAAAGCTCAATAGTAATATAAAAAAATGTTAAAAATGAAAAAATAAATAAAAAATGTAAATAAATTAAACTAAAATGAAAATTAACACTGGACATATAAAAATAAAAGCTAATAAAATATTAATAAAAACTTGTACAGTATATAAATAATGCTAAAACAACACTGTCTCAAAATATATAATTTTAATATATCTTGAAATGTAATTAGTAAGCAAATGGAAACTTTCACTGAAGTCTCTTCTGATTATGAGATGTTTCTGCTGAGAATTTTTGGAAAAGACCTCAACAGTGCTCAGGATACCAAAGTCAGCATTGAAAATTCTGAGAGATCTCAATATGAGCTCAAACTTTTCTCATCAAATGATCTGAGCTGCTGCATTTTACAGCTCTAAACTCTTACTGTGACTCATTTGTGTCTGTTTTTAATTCTCCACAGGAATTTTATCTCAACTTCATTTGAGATAAAGTTGAAACACAACTGAGAACTTCATTAAGCTCCCGTTTCTGCAACCTAGGCTGTGTTTACACTGGCACAAAAAATCTGATCTTTTCACATCTGACACAGATCGGAATTTGTTGCACACGTGTCAACACAAAAACCCGCACGAGATCCGATTTTTTTGCATCCGATCTGAGCCACTTCCAAATGTGGATTTTAATCGGATACACATCTGCTATCTGGACATCCGACCTACGTCTAAACACGCATACCCGATTCTCCACAGAACTCCCAATGCGAGGGCGACACGTTTGCTCATAAAGATTTTTAATGGCGTTTTAATGCCGGCGTGCTGCATGCGCTCGCATTTTATTGAGATGGAAACTTTTTATAGGTAAGAAATTGTACATTCAGGAGCTGGTTTTCAACCCCCGCCCCGTGAATTTTGAAAATACAACAGCTAAAAGCTACATATATTTCTCAGCAATGAGGTGATAACGTAGCAGTTTTTGTAATTAAACTGACAAGCTTGTCTGCAATGCTTCACAATCGCTCGCTCGCACGTGGGTGCATGCGTTCGTTCGTTCGTTCTCTCTCTCTCTCCTTAATTAATTCAAATTAATTTAAATAAATATCATCTTTATTTCACTAAAGAATTCTACCTCTAACGAGCTGTAGGTAAAATTAAAATAACTGTTATTTTCCGGTCTTTATCCGTTCAGTCAGATTTTGTGCTGCAAAACATCCATGACAGCCGTTGTCCATGCTGGCAAATAATAATGGCCATTCAACGTGAATTATATAAATAATTTTAAAAGCACGGCCATTTAAAACCCGATGGTCTACCATGTGCATAGTAAAGCAATCACTGCAGACAATCCTTTTGGGTGGGAATTAGGCTAATGTAAACACAGATATCGGATACCAGTCGTGTCAAAAGTGAATGTAAACAGACGTGCCAAAAAAATCGGATATGGTCAAAAGATCGGATCTGTGCATTAAGACTTGCAGTGTAAACGCAGCCCTAGTGAGCAACATCTTCTGAGCTCCCGTTTCTGCAATCTAGTGAAGCAAGACTTGTAAACACTAATAAACAAAGACCTGTAATGTTAGCGAAAGAACACTCAGGTCCTCTCCTGTAAGTCAGTCATGCAAGTGTCAACTGAGCAAAGCCTTTTAACAGAGGAAAGACCCAGAGAAGCAGCAGAGAGCAACACCTGTTCCAGGGGAGACTCTCATCACCTCAGCTGCAGCAAAAGGTCTGTAATCACTGCGGTTTCCATACCTCAATCCAGCTGTTCCTCCAGGTGAGAGCGGCACTTTCATCTTAATCATCACCCTACAGCTGCTTCAAAACAAAGCTTCAGACCTGCTGTGTTCTGATTGGAAATGCATTTATACTATATAGACAAATTGGTGAAAAGGTTCAAAAGTTTTGAAAGTTTCAAAGACTCTTCTGCTCTGCAATGCTGCATTTATTTGTTCAAAAATACAGTAAAGAGAGCAATATTGTGAAATGGTTTTACATTTCAAAATATCTGTTTTCTAATATAATATATTTTAAAATGTAATTTATTCCTGTGGTCAAAGCAGGATTTTAGCATCATTACTCCAGTCTTTAGTGTCACATCATCCTTCAGAAATAATTCTAACATGGTGTTTTGCTGCTCAATAAATATTTCTGATTATTATCTGTGTTGAAAAAAGATATGCTGCTTTATATTTTTGTGGAAACCGTGATACATTTTATTTGTTTGATGAATAGAAAGTTCAATAGAACAGCATTTATTTGAAGAAATCTTTTGCAACATTCCTCCGTAGTGTCCTCCTCTCTTCCCTCACCTACCCATTTCTCATCTGTGGATGTGAATGCAGCAACTGATACTTTATGCTCTACTTTAACCTCTTGTCTAGACAATATTTGTCCTCCCTCCTCCAGGCCAGCACGGGCTGCCCCTTCTAACCCCTGGTTATCCGATGTTCTTTGTGAGCATCGGACCAAACTCAGGGCAGCAGAGAGAAAATGGCGCAAATCAAAAGATCCGTCAGACCTGAGTATGTATCAGTCTTTGCTTTCATCTTTCTCTGCTGAAGTCCATATTGCCAAATCTTCATCCTTCCACAACAAGATCAACAGCACTCCAGACACACGTAATCTCTTCAAAACATTCAATTCTCTCCTCTGTCCCCCTTCACCACCTCCCACCACTTCTATAACCGCGGATGATTTCGCCACATTCTTCACAGGCAAAACTAGAACAATCAGTAGTCAATTCTCAGCCACACACACGCAGGACTTCAAACCAACCGCATCCACTGCTAAAACTTGCATCTTCTCTTTTTGTCCCCTCACTGAGGCAGAAGTATCAAAACTGATCCTCTCCAGCCATCCTACAACATGCCCTCTAGACCCAATCCCCTCACACCTTCTCCAAGCAATCTCTCCTACACTCTAACCAGCACTCACACATATCATCAACACATCTCTCCTCACAGGCACTTTCCCCACTGCATTCAAGCAGGCTCGGGTAACCCCACTGCTCAAAAAACCTATGTTAAACACTTCACTTACAGATAGCTATAGACCTGTCTCTCTCCTTCCATTCATAGTGAAAACCCTCGAATGAGTTGTTTTCAACCAGGTATCATTGTTTCTTTCACAGAACAACAAACTGGATGCTAACCAGTCAGGTTTCAGGAGTGGCCATTCAATTGAGACTGCGCTACTGTCAGTCACGGAAGCCTTGCGGATTGCAAAAGCTGATTCCAAACCTTCAGTTCTTATTCTGCTGGATCTATCTGCTGCTTTTGACACTGTCAATCATCAGATCCTCATGTCTGCCCTCTCTTCACTGGGCATCACAGAGATTCCACTTCGCTGGTTTCAATCTTATCTCACAAGTAAGTCTTTCAGGGTGGCCTGGGGAGGGGAGGTATCCAAAGCACATTAACTGGTCACTGGGGTTCCTCAGGGATCAGTTATTGGACCCCGTACACTACATCACCGAGTCCCATCATACAGGCACATGGCTTCTCCTACCATTGCTATGCTGATGACACACAGCTCTATCTCTCATTTCAACCAGATGATCCAACGGTAGCTGCACGGATCTCAGGCTGCCTGGCGGACATCTCAGCATGGATGAAAGGAACATCACCTACAGCTCAACCTGGCAAAGACTGAGCTTCTTGTCTTCCCTGCCACTCCAACTCTACAGCATGATTTCACCATCCAGCTAGGTTCTTCTACAATTACCCCATCAACT